ATGCTGATTTGCTGCTCAAGAAACATTTCTGATTATTATCAGTGTTGAAAACAGTTGTGCTGCACAATATTTTTGTGGAAACTGCGATACATTTTATTTTTCAGGATTCTTTGATGTATAGAAAGTTTAAAATAGCAGCTTTTTTTTTTTTAAAATAGAAATCTTTTGTAATATTATAAATGTCTTTACTGGCACTCAATCAATTTAATGCATCCTTGCTAAATAAAAATTAAATAAATAAATAAAAACAACTTCCTGACCCTAAACTTTCGAACAATATTTTTTAACAATATGTGTTATCATTAAGTGATTTTTTTTTTTTTTTTTTAACTAAATGTGGTTATTCTTAGCCTTTTAATAATATTCAATATGTTGCTTGATTCGATATGGCCTGCAAAATTCTCATGAATTTCCCAAGAAAGAACAGAAGTTTTCATACCCCTGGTGAAAAGTGCTGCTGGTCTGCAGGTCACATGTTCCGTCTGATCTTCTGGAGCTGCTTCTCATAGACTTGTGTGCATCGTCATGTGCAGACACTAGAGATATTTCACAAGGCATTTAAAATACATGCTTGATTCATAGAAAGCAAAAGTATACATTACAGGATTTTAATAAAATGTAACAAAATGCTTGCAGCAAACCATCACATTTTTTCTTCAAATTATCGTTTATCAGGGCTTGAATTTCAGCGCGGGATTGCGCATTATTCTACTGATTCCCGCAGTTTCCGCGCCTGTAACGTGGGAAATTCCCGCAAATATTTCAGAGTGAAAGACGCTCGGGACAGATGACGGAATGTATCATTTGCACGTGCTTTTGAGTCTTAGTTTTAAACATTCAAGTGCTCAATTCAGTACTTGCACGGTCTCTGTGAGACCCCTTTCTGTGAGCTCACAGCCAAAGTGCGACTACAGAATGAAGTTGTGTTGAGCCTTATACATACAAAATTATGTCAAAATGCCAGTCTTGATGAGTATTCACGTAAACAGTCGATTTATACTCATTGACGGTATGTAGGCTATTAAGTGAATGTAAACAGTTGAGAAACAAAACTTGTGTAACAGATCCGTGCGTGAGGTCTTAAAAAGACAGCAACCTAAATAAACCTGCTGCTGTCTGTCATTAATGTTTATTTATACACTGAAGACCAACCAGTGTTATTTTAAAGTTAAGTAGATTATTCAGTTTCTGTGGTATTTCTGTACCTGAATATTACTGTTATACCTACCTGAAAAACTTAAAGCACAGTTCATGTTAGTTGTATCTTGTTATTGTATTTGTTTGTGCCATTGCTTGCCATTTATCGGTTCTTATTTTATTACTCACTGTTTACTTGTCTTTTTTTAGTTAAAATAAATTCAATTCAGAGTTTGAAATCAAAGTTCTTTAAGTATCTTCCTCACAATATAAATATGAATCAACAACATCATAAATTATAAAAACACGAACACACTGGGTGACGAAACATTTAGGTTGGATGATTGTACTTTAAAGGGGTCATATGATGCTATTTTAAAGATCATTATTTGGTGTATTTGGTGTAACAGAATATGTTGACATGCTTTAATGTTCAAAAAACACATTATTTTTCAAATACTGTACATTATTGTAGGTCCTCTATGCCCCGCCTCTCTCAAACGCTTCGTTTTCTGTTTATTTTTTTATTCTATAACAGGCTTCCATACAAAAGCATAGTAAAAAGTAGTCGCCATGATGTGAACTAACCTGAAATGTTCTCCTTATCTTCATGCGAGAGGAGCTGGCGTTTGCCTGCGTTTAGATTCCTCACGGCAGCCTCCAGAACGCGCCTGGGTTTAGCATTCATTTCAAAAGCCTTCTGAAGAATCAAAGTGCATTTCTTAAAGTTGCCTGGAGAGAATGAAAGCAACTTAATGGCCATGTTCTCAATTAGCGATTCATTTCTGACAGAGGCAGAAGCTTACTACATGCCTTAGATTTTTATTGAAATTTTTAAGTGTCCTTACCTTGCAAAAGCTCAAACTGAGCATAAGCAATGTGAACAAAGGCAAAATCCTTACAGTGCGATCTCGCTATGTCAAAACTAGCCTGTGCATCATTTACATCTTGGATGCTGTTGACAAAGAGACTAAATTTAAAAAAAAAAATGCACTAAAATATTTGGCAGTTTAAAACAGATCTGTTGATTTAAAACAAAAAATAGTTCACCCAAAACTAAAAATCTGTCTTTATTTTCTCAAGTATAATTTCCTAATGTACAAAGTGCATTTCTTAAAGTTGCCTGGAGAGAATGAAAGCAACTTAATGGCCATGTTCTCAATTAGCGATTCATTTCTGACAGAGCCAATGAATTTCCTTGATCTTTGCATTCTTTCGTGATTATTGGATAAGAATCATTATTAAACATTCCAGAGATCGCTTTCTGAAAGAAGAAATATTTCCGAGCCGGGCATATTTACAAACATTTATATTGGAATTACAGGAACGTTCATGACTTTTCAAGATTGTATTCATTTCCACAACATTCCCAGACCTAGAATTCCCAAATATATCCATGTTTTAAAGGGGTCATATGATGCTATTTTAAAGATCATTATTTTGTGTATTTGGTGTAACAGAATATGTTGACATGCTTTAATGTTCAAAAAACACATTATTTTTCAAATACTGTACATTAAGCTTGTAACACTCCAAAGAGAAAGGAAAACTTGAAATCGCATCATATGACCCCTTTAAAGTGTGGGCAAAATTATGACCCAAATCTGGAAGTTCTTACCATCATTGTATAACTTCTTCATCTTGGCCAGCCGCTGACACAGCATGGCGATCTGCAGCTGTCGCTCTGTGCTCTCTTCTTCATCCATCTCTGCACACTAAACAACACAAGACACATCAACACAACACTTACTGTACTGCACTGACATCTTCAGGAAGATGACACCATACTTCAGTCATTCCAAACATGTCTCATCCCATCCTTAATGTTTAATAGATCTTAAAGTATTCAAACTGCACAAACCTAAATAACTTATCAATGTTGGGTCTCTTTAAGGGCAAAACACCATTCAAAGATGATATTAAGTTACACAGTAAAGTGCGTCATCCATGTTTGGGGCCCTTTCAGCTCTTTATTCTACTAACTAGATCTTAACTCTCATCAAATGCATTATTTGATAGAATTATTTTTAACTTGCTGTGTTTATTAGCCTAAGAGCTCACTAGCTATCCGGCTAAACTCACTCTACAACAGAACATTTCTCGTTGGCAATCGTGTATTATCGGTTTAGTTATTGACAATCAACATCTTGACGCACTAAATCGCACTGTTCGCATTTTGGACCGATATTAGAGTATCTTAAAGCAGTATACTTACATTGAGACGAAGAAAGGAGGTAATTTTGACGGTAGGATTGATCAAATGTTTTGGTGAGCAACCGTTTCAAAATTCGCGACATCCCCATAAACGCGCGTTCCTATTGGCCCGTTTGTATTCCACGTGACCAGTTCGCACCGGAGGGGCGGGGCTGCTGCCTCATACTTTCACTAGAATTCAGGCTGTAAAATATGAACTAGAACATTTTCAAACTAGTAGTTCAACACATCCGGTGCAGATGTAAAGATGTGTAGAATTGATAGTCAATATAGAAACATAAACTACTTGCAACCATGTTGATATTAATGATATAATTATATGAGATGTGGAAAATATAAAGCAGGGCTATTCAATTAGTTTCATTAGTCGATTAAAAAAATGAATTATTTAATCCCATTTTTCTGTAATTAATTGCATATTAATATATTGTCATAATTTCACATTGAACCTCCAAATTAATGTAGTTAGAAACTACCCATATTTTAAATATGTTTAATGGCATCTCTTTACTAAGTAGCCTATTATTAACAAAGGCCAGTATTTTTGATACCAATACTGCTACTGATGTCTCGATTAATTGCATTTTGATCTCAATTTTAGCCATTAATTATAGCCATTCAACACTACAGTATATTTTTAACATTTAGTATGCTCTGAAAAAAATTAACTTTTAATTTAAGTGAACTTAAAACAATCTTCACATAAACTATAAATTGTATTTTTGGCATAATTGTGTGTTTATGATGAAGATGATTGGCGGGCCGCCAAATTGAATAGCCCTGATATAAAGCATGTCTTATATTATTATTATCCACATGCATAAATTAAGTTAAAATGAGCTTTTTGTATAAATTTACTTTTTAAACATTGACAAAAAAAAACCGTATTGTTTACAATTAAAGTTGTTCATGATAAAAAACCATTTTTGTAGTCTTTAAAAGAAAAACATTTCTGCAACAGGATCACAAAAAAGATCCATTTAGCTCAATGCAAATTACAATTTATGTTGTCAATAAATGCAAGTTGTTTAAAGCATCACCCAGATTTTCTCTGAAAAAAAATTATCCGAAAAAAAAAAAAATTTCTAGAAAAAGCAGCGGTCAATAAATTGAGAAGTTACATATTTGTGTGCAAGCCTATGCACATCACTGCAAATCAAACTTTGTTCGTAATGACGTGGATTTTCACAGATGTCTTTCATTTGTACTGATTACTTAACACTTTATGCAATAGCAAGACTCCTCAAAAAAAGCATAGTGAAAACCTTGCTAAAATCAGAAGTGATTACTCGGCTAGATTTCGTGGAAAAATCAATTATTGATAGAATGACTTACTAAATCTAGTGTTAAAAGTTCAATACATTACACCATTGTTCATTTACTTGTTTCGTTCAATTAGCAAGAATGAATTAATATCTCCTGTAAGACTGTAATGTTTTAAGTTGTTAAAGAAGGTGTGGTTGTGTTATTCAGTCACCCATAAAAAGATAAACACTAGATGTATTTTTGTATTTAAAAAAGGACAAATGCAACATAAATACTACAGCGGCACTTCCTTTTATTTATGGTTATTGCAGGTAGCGAAACCTTTCTAAAGGCGTTAAGAAACCACCCTCACACACAATCGCTGGAATAATGGAATAAATAAATTAAAAAGCAAAACGAGTTTAATTAGAGGATAATGGTTGGAATACATTTTCCAAGCAAAGAAATGTTTCTGTAAACACAAATGTAATGAGCATATAATCATTTATAACACAGTAAGACGACCATATTTGTACATAATGACTCAAGATTTAGATTAAGGGGAGGTCAAAGACCTTAAACAACACTTACTTATAACAAGGTACGTTTAGGAATGACAGTGCTGTTTTAATTAATCATATCGGTGATGAATTGTGAAAAATGCAAGATTTTACAACAAGCCATCAATCTAAGCATTAGCATCCTAGTCTATCTGCTGGCCTTGCTTGGGTCCTTCCAGCTTCCGCAGAGTTTCATCCCACTGTGAAAACTGCTTTGATAAGAGAAACATCTGTGGAGGAAGTTAAGGACAGTAAGGCACTCATGCGAAAGAATTCAGATGTTCAAGAATGAGCTTACTGTGTGCTGTTTTTAGCTGCAGGGAGATCTGTACAATAATTAAATAGGAGTCTTTCACCGCAACTAAGGATACCATTTTGTTGTATTCTTCAAACAGCCTCTTCACTTCAGCAGATAATTCTTCATTCTGGTCCTGCAGAAGTCAGTCACGCATAATTTATTATACATAGGAATGTGAATCAGCATGTTTCACAATATGGTCTCATTTAGTGATGGATGCTAATCTATGTGACCCTGGACCACAAAACCAGTCATAAGGGTCAATTTCTCAAAATTGAGATGTATACATCTTCTGAAAGCTGAATAAATAGCTTTCCATTGATGTGTGGTTTGTTAGGATCGGACAATATTTGGCCGAGATACAACTATTTGAAAATCTGGAATCTGAGGGTGCAAAAAAATCTAAATATTGAGAAAATCACCTTTAAAGTTGTCCAAATCAAGTTCTAAGCAATGCATATTACTAATCCAAAATTACGTTTTGATATATTTACGGTAGGAAATTTACAAAATAAATCAATATTTTTGACCCATACAATGTATTTTTGGCTATTGCTACAAATATACCCCAGCGACTTAAGACTGCTTTTTGTGCTCCAGTGTCACGTATACTTAAAAAAGAAAAAAAACCTACTCTACTCCACCTGCATGGAGGTAAAAAACAAAAACAAGTTAAATGTGTTGTTACCTGTTGTTTAATGTGGACTTGTGACAACCGCTGCACTTTCGTGGTCAGCTCTGGAACCGCTGTGATGCCAAAAGAACACACAGCGTTGTTAAAAATGGCCTCAGTCATACTGAAAGAAAAAGTCCTTTCATATTTGACTAGTATAGCAACAGTCAGTGTTTGACCTTTAATGTGGTTGCTGTCCAGAAGAGGCTGCAGATTGTGCACCTGCTCCAATAATGTGGCCTGAGAACGCAAAAACTCTTCCTCTGTAGATAAAGAATGAGGAGCTTATGCACTGTTCAGACTGCTTAGATCGGCCCATTCATTAACATTATATGTTTTAGTGGTTCTCAACTGGTGGACCACAACTCACAAGTTCTCTCCTGTGGGAGCTTGTTTCCACAACGGAATAAAAAAAATAGGTAATTGCAACTTTTAATCTCACAATTCTGATTTTTTAACTTTTCTTTTCTCGCAGTTCTAAGAGAAAAAAAGTCAGAATTGCAAGATATAAACGCAGAATTCTGAGAAAAAAAAGTGAATTGCATGACGTACTTCTCATAATTCTGAAAGAAACATCTGAATTGTGAGATATAAACTCGTAAACGTGAGGGAAAAAGTCAGAATTGTGAGATAAAAGGTCACAATTGCCTTTATATTTTTTTTCTTGGCTGAACAAAAAGTCAAAATTTCAAGATATAAACTCAAAAAAAAGTCAGAAGTTTTCATCTCACAATTTTGACTTTTCTTCTCAGAATTGCGTGTAAACTTGACAAAACACTTCTCACATTTTTTGACATGGGCTGTGCGCCCTACAGTATTTCAGTGCAAATTCCTCTGTTATTTGGTAGAAGCAAGTCAAATCATCTGTGTGACATGCGTTCATCCTTACAAAACTACAGGAGGTAAAGAACACAGATTTCACACTACATTTAATACAGATTCACCTGCAATGAGGATAAACATGGTTGGTGACAAATACAACGTGTATGTGGGTGCTGCATTGAAAGGCCTCTTGACTTGACATCCAATGTGAAATCAGGTTCCTGAATCACTTATACACGTGAAAATTAGAGCACTAACCTGCTAGAATAAACTCTAATTTCATTGCATCTGGCACAGCGATGAAGTCTGTGAACTGGGGGTCCAAATACTTCAGCAAATCTTCAACTGATAGAAAACATACATCGACAAAAAATGATGATGCAACATATTAAAACAGCATTTTGATTACAAATGTGAACTGGGAGGCTCTCACTTTTCTTGTGAAGGATCTTGACACGCTCTCTCTTGTTTGCGGTGTTTGCCAGAGCAGTACTGGTTCTTGTGAGTGATTCAGCACACTGAGGGAAGGAAAGACAGATTAGACATCCAGCAAAACATGCACACTGCTAGCAGAAAAAAAAATTGGATGAAATTGTATACATAAAAGGACAAGTCTGATCTATTCATCGCTTCCAGCGTGTTTATGTGTCACGAGTCCTGCTGCCACGCCCGCACTTCTGACAGACACTACTAACGCGCATTATAACAACAGCACAACGAGAATGACTGATGTTATGGTCTAAATATTATCTATCAAAACATCAATAAACACTGTGGCGCTGCAGCTGACACACACACACACACACGGGGGGGGGTTTACGCGTGTCTGAGGCCGATCACCTTCACTGGCTTGTTGGTTTTTCCTCCTCTTTCGCCATAAACGCGTTTTTCAAGAACCTGAAGCCGAGAGTCCAAGTCGTCGAGATTGTTGTTTTTTCCTTCCATTTTGTTGTCCGGTAGCTTTTCTCTAAACCGGAAATGACGCTTCGGAGAGCGTCTTCTTCTGCGCGTCACCAGCAGTCAAAAACAATCAAAAACATAATAATGTATTATGATCTCTAAAAACAAGGTGACAGTTTTGTCTTAAAATATTTTAGGGATATTGAAATGCTTACACTGCAGCAGTCTGCATCAATCGCTTTTAAAGCGTGAAGTGCTATTCACACATTATTATTAAATAATAATAATTATAATATAATTAATAATATTATTAAATAGTTTTACTGAGTACGTTATTTATTTGTGTATGTATGTATTTAATTATTTACACAAACAGAACGTGCCATATAAGATTTATCCTGGTTGTATTTTTGTATTGTATTCTAACGTGCAGATGCAGGTATTCGCAACGTTTCTAAGACGTTTTATTTGCATTTTAGGTGTGGTTACTAAGATGTTTTACTATAATTGCAACCAAATATAATGTTGTGAAAAGCTTTAAGGACGTTTTGTTTATGACTAGAAGACAGCCACCGGATAGTAAATCTATTTAATAATGTCACCGATTAAACCCACTGCCTGTCACTCAATAAAATAATCATATTTATGCGTGTTTTTGATTTTGTTTGGTTAAATAATTAACATCACCTTCGCGAGTATGACTCTCTCTCTCGGCTTGTGAATTAGCAGAACTTGAACACAAATAAATAACGCTTCATGTGGCTTGATGTACCAAGACAGTGATAAAGACAAAATTGTAAAGCATACTACGTGCAGATACGCACATAAGCCCAAAATGTGAACGCAACGCGTTTATTTACACGTTAAGCGTTTTCCTCTCATATAAAGAACGCTTCATGAACCGAGACAGTGATATTAAAAGTGCACACCTTACTAAAGCATACTATCTGCACAAAAACTGATGAACCCAAAATATGAACTTTAAATACTGTCTTAATGCATAAGCGTTTTCTTAACGTGTAATTAAACAAGTTGCGTTAATATTCTGGCCTCATCTGCATGTCTTTTAGCATCACTTACTACATTAAACCAGCATTTTAAATGCTACAAAAGTGTTCAAGCTTCCAGGGATTTCATTTTAGTTGTTATTTGTTGAAATAAATATAAACATGTATGGTAACCTGGTGTTGAGTTGATGAATTAATTAATTTCATGTACAAACTGATCAGGTTTGGGTCAATTTGGAGGACACAAATGTTTGTTTTTAGTATTCTTCACCAAACCGACTGTACAAAAGAATCATGTAAAATATTCATTATCATTATTTGTGACGTTAGAATACAATATTGAACAATAATCTCTTTTATTTAATTTAACATTTTCATTTCATTGACAATATTATTAAACATGGACATTTACTTTCATTAAACATGCTTATTTCTTCTATTGCATGCTCATTGTAAGCTATTAATTTAAATTATAGACACGTGCAAACTGGGTGCCCTTAATGCAAATATAATTGGCCACATTTACAAAATCAGGTGATTATGTTCGCTCATCTATGCAAATGTCTCTTTGTATAGAGACAAAAGAATTAGGTTAAACACTGTCTATCACTTCAGTTCATAGTGATCGCGTATATTTGTGAAGACACTAATGAATACACCAGTAAAACATCTTCAGCTTTTGGTTTTATTTCCCATCAAACACAAAACAAGCAGATAGTGTACAATCATATCTTTACTTTACTTTACTTTTACTTTTAGTCATTTAGCAAACGCTTTTATCCAAAGCGACTTACAAATAAGAAAAAGTAATTAAAACTAAAAGCTAAAACTCTATACATACTATATATATATATATATATAATATTTGATAATTATACTGTAATATATAATA